GCCTGCCAGGTAACGAGGGTCCAGCCCCCTGGGGCCGGACTGTCCACTCACCTTCCATTGTTGCTGCGGGCTCTGTGCTCTCTTCTGATTGCTCCGGAGTGCCTGGTCAGCAAGCCACTCTTCGATGGAGGCTCATCCTCCCACCTCCTGCCAGGAGTGGCTTGCAGACTGCGAGCTCCAGAGCGATAGGAAGGGAGGGCAGAGGCTGCAGCAACAGCGGAACTTAAGTGGACAATCCAGCCCCAGAGGGCTGGACTCTGGTTATGTCTACCTGTGCAGGGGTATTCAGATACAAATACCCCCATCTCTAGTGAGAACACTGGAGAGGGCCTTCTCTGTGGCTGCTCCCAGACTCTGGAACTCCCTCCCACTGGAGGCCAGGCTGGCCCCATCTTTACTGTCCTTCCACAAGCAGGCAATGACCTTTCTCTTCAGGCAGGCTTTCTCTCACCGACTGGCTGTCTGAGAAGGGGTTTTTAATGGATTGTTGTGGGTTGTTAATTTTGAATTTTTTTTTTTTAGTATTGATTTTATTTACCATTTTTAATATAGTTCTTTTTTAATGTTTCTATATTGATTTTATTTACCATTTTTAATATAGATCTTTTTTAATGTTTCTATACTTAAGTAAACTTTTAAATCTTGTCTTTTCCACGATGTACTGTAAGCCTTCTTAGGTCTTTTTTTTAAGGAGAAAGGTAGAGTAGAAATGTTTTAAATGAAATAAATGTAAAGATGTCAAGAAGCCTTTTCTTTAAGGCAAAAATGGATTCCTACAGCTATCAATTTAAATTGGGTAAATGACACTTGGTAGAAATGTGGAAGCATGTACTGTAAGCCTTCTTAGGTCTTTTTTAAGGAGAAAGGTAGAGTAGAAACGTTTTAAATGAAATAAATATAAAGATGTCAGGAAGCCTTTTAAATGGATTCCTACAGCTATCAATTTAAACTGGGTAGATGACACTTGGTAGAAATGTGGAAGTTGGGTCCATTTTCATCTGGAAGAGAATCTCTCTATCCTATCCCTTCAGTTTTGATGGCTTTTCTGTGAGTTGGCGTACGTCTGCGTGTTTCCACATGCACATGCATGCATGCATGTGCCAGGGAGAAGCCAAGGACTGAGATATAGCAGAAGACTCTCTTAACACCAGTGTAGGTCTCATTACCTTCACCCTCCCAATTTCCAAGCCTGATTCCTCACTTCCAGTGTGTGAGATTAAAAATAAGGAACCTTTGCCCCTCTTCTGCATTCTGTGGTTTGTGTGACATGTCTCATACATGACCAACTGTGCATAACAGGTACTGTATTCTCCTTTCTCTTTTCAAAACAATGCCCACGCAGAAAGCCTAGGACTGGCTGATTGTTCAAAAATGTGCAAACAATACATTCAGTGCTTGTCATTTTGAAAGCACTCGCCAAACAACACAACAATATGCTACAATTTGTGTACCCAGGTCCTTAGCAACAGCACCAATATAGCAGTTCCTTGTAGAATTTGCAGAGTTCAAGTGTCCCTTTGATTTCAAGGTCAGACAAAAGTCCAAGAGTTTGGTATCCATAACACAGAAGACTCTTTGAAACCCTAAAATACCATATCAGTACAATTGTACAGAATTCATTAATTCACTATGTATATTCAGCCCTCCAGCACAAACGTATAGGAATCATATCCAAACCAAGTTGGCAAGGGCTTCAGCAATCCAAGAGGTGACAGCAGCTCTGGCCTCTTAAATTCTCCCGCTCTTTTTGATTCAAATTTCTTACTCACAGCCCCTCTCTTTCATAATCCCACTCCAATATTTCAAAGGGATAATACTGTGACTTGGCAGTTCCTGAAAATGTGCCAGAAAATTATTTATTTAAAATATTTTTACCCTGCCTTTCTGGTTAAAAGGGCCTGAGGTGGGTCCTTAAAATTTCCTTACAATTTTGGAAGTGAGGAGACGTCGATTTCCGTTAGGACAGAAAAGCAAGGCTTTACATCCTGGCCATACCCACATTCACTCTGGATATACTGTAACCCTCTGTGATAATGCAGTTTCTTCCCCAGTTAATGGGGCGGCACTTAATTTTAATTGTTCTGCTAGTTGGAGCTTATTTCACTTCATTTTAATAGGAGCCATAATTCATAGAGCATCTGTAGATTTCTAGAAATGGTTCAGGAGGTTCCTTGTCGTAATAAATTACTGACCACAGCTTTCTTTAATTACCTTGTGACGTTTCCTCTTGTGAAAGGGAAGATGATTCTTTAAAAGAAAAGCAGCACAAAACCCCAGTATCCCCTAAGGGTTTGCTATTCAGTATTTTTGGACTACAACTCCCAAAATTCTCCAGGAATTTTACAGGTAGCGTTCTGAAAGGTGCAGTCCAGAAATCTAAGTCCACAAACCAGTTTTCTGCTTATTTACCTCTCTTGCTGCTTCCTCCAGCCTGTTTTTACTTTTGTTTTCAAAGCAAGGAACTGCCCTAGTGTTCAGGTCTTCCAAGGTGTCATCCTTGTTTAAGAAGCAACCTCTATAGAGCATAATGGTTTGCAAGACAAGAACTTCTAGCTGTCTGTCCTGCAGTGTATAGAGTTATGCTAAGCTTTTTTTTCCACACAGAGATTTGATTTTAATATAACAAAGGCCAGCGACAAAACCTTGCAAGATAAGTTCTCAGAAGGAAGGAAGATAAATTCTCAGCTGGCATATGCATGATCAAGAGTTTAAAAAATGAATTGGATGGGAATTCTGTGACCACTGTATCATCACCACTGATTCAACTTGAATGCTATTCAGTGGCCAGATCCAATTGCAATTGACACCTGCATAAATGATATATGTATTGGTGGCAAATGGCCACTCACTAAAAAGGTGCTGGTTCTGTCCATGGCTGCATTTCCAGCCACACTGCATAGCTTTGGAGGTACCGTATTTTTCACTCCATAAGACGCACCTTTCCATAAAACGCACCAATTTTTTAGGAGAAGAAAACAGGAAAATATAATCTGTTTTCTTCGCTCCATAAGACGCACAGACTTTCCACCCTCCTGTTTTGTGGGGGGAAAGTGCGTCTTATGGTGCGAAAAATACGGTAGGTCCAGGAACCTCCTGCCAACCTAGCAGTTTGAAAGCATGTAAAAAATGTGAATAGATAAATAGGTACCACCATGGTGGGAAGGTAACGGTGTTCCATGTCTAGCACAGACTTTCCACCCTCCTGTTTGGTGGGGGGAAAGTGCGTCTTATGGTGCGAAAAATACGGTAGGTCCAGGAACCTCCTGCCAACCTAGCAGTTTGAAAGCATGTAAAAAATGTGAATAGATAAATAGGTACCACCATGGTGGGAAGGTAACGGCGTTCCATGTCTAGTCACGCTGGCCAGGTGACCATGGAAGATTGTCTACGGACAAAACACTGGCTCTACAGCTTGGAAACGGGGATGAGCGCCATCCCTTTCAGTCGGACACGACTGGACTAAATGTCAAGGGGAATCTTTACCAGGAACACAACTGTAAATTAGTAGGTTTCCCAATGACATAATAGTCCACTGTCTCCACTACATCCTTTTTCATTTGCAGTTGATCCTGCTTTCGAAAGGCCTCCAGCAGTCATACACCATTCTCTCCCACTGCAACAACGTAGTCAATAATCTGGATATAAAAAAAAGTGTCAGCCTTTATGAAAATTATATTCTTGAGCTGAAATCCAGTTGTAGAGCTATTCAAGTGGAAGGCAATTAATTTAACATTCCCTTGTTTCAACCAGCAAATGAAGAGGCACCATAGCTATTCTCAGGGATGT